AGTGAACGCGGTGCTCAGATGTACTTCATCTTTGTTGTATTGTTTTTGTCTTAAACCCCAAAATTTTCCCTACCTCTTCCCACTGGAAAAAAAAAAAAAAAAAAAAAAAAAAAGACCAGAAAGAACAACCCAGTGGCAGAGTTCTCCCAGCATTACACTGTGGTCTCTAAATAGGGCTTCACACTAAATGGAGCCACAGATCCCTTGACAAAGGGTTGAGGCAGGCCTGGGTGAGAAATCTATAATGAATAGGTAAGCTGAACCTGGAAAATGATATAATACTTGAAATCCAGGAAACCACTGAAGACTGATGAATTTGTATCAAAAGAATGCATGAGCCCATCTGTATAAACTCACTGACCAAAGATGAGATAGTAAGAGCACTAGTAATGTATTAAACCATGTCAAATACATCTAAATATGAATTCATAATGAGGAGAGAATCTCTATCTTTTGAGGCTGCTAGGGAATCATAGTAAACTAGTAATAAAAAGAAAATGTTAATATTGTTTTGTCTCTCTTATTTTATCTTCCCTTTGGGTAATCTACTGTTGATAAAGGAAAGCTTTTCTTTAAGTGTTTCAGAGAGATTTGGGGAGGGGAGAAGACTAGAGGTACAGCTCAGAGGCAGACTGCTTGCCAAGTATCTGTAATATACTTGCTTTGATCTCAAGAACTGTAAAATAAAACAAAATAATAATAATAATAAAAGAATGCTCTAATCTGATGACTCATAAATAACAACCATTGGTGATGGCTCAAACGTTCAAGAGAAAAGTAAATGGGAAGCAACCTGGTTCAATCTTAGAAGCATTATGATGATTGCTACGTGGGTGGTGAGAACCTGAGCTCAGATCCTCATGCTTGCCCAGTATGTAAACACTTTACTGACTAAGCCCCCAGGACTCCTAGCCCACAATTTTAATACTTAAAAAAAAAAAAGAGAGAAAACAATAATGTAGTTCCTTATGGAAAAGCATATCACTCCTATGAAAGAACTTTTACGAAGAAAAATCAAACCCAAATCTGACCGAATCTGTAGACCTAAAAACCATTTTAGGAAATAAAAGGACAAGAGAATATGTCATAGAATGTACAATTATATGGAAAAGGAAAACAAGTAGGTAGAACCTATCATTTAAGGAAAAGACATCAATTTGAAAGTAGGAGGTTTTATTGGATCTCAGTTCAAAAAATCCATTTAAAAACACATATTCTTTAAGAGAAATGGGGAATTAATACTAAGTGAAAGTATGGGGGCATTAAAATATTTCACATTACTACGGTATAACAACAGTGTGTGGCTGTCTTAGAGCTCCATACTGAAATATCTGTGGGTAGAACATGACTAATTTTCTTTAAAGCAGCATGGGACAGAATACATAAACTGCTCACTGCTGATGCTGGTGACAGTGTACATGAAGATCACACATTTCTTTCTATTTTCATAAATATGAGAGATTTTCCAAAATGAAAAGTTAAAATGTTTTAGAATTTCACTTACTATTACTGCTTTATAAAAATGAAAGTGGTGGCAACAATGTCTAACTTTACAGAACAAACTTAAAAGTTCCTTACCACTCAGATTTTAAAGTGAAGTTTGTTTCCAAGTATGTCTCCCTTCCAGGGTCCCATTGACACATCATTTTCTTTCCCTCATTCACAATGCAACTCAAATTTTTAGGTTCATCTGGAGGAACTAAAAGGAAACAATAAGCACCTCTATACCCATGAGTATTACCCAATTTATATACCACCTAAAACACACCTAAATTAGATAAACAAGAGAAAAGTACGGGCACAATGAAAGACTGGTGAGTAATGTGCTAAGTTCTTTTTCTTCAAACTCCTAAAAACTTCATTTTAGGTCACGGTATATATTTTCTATCATAAACTAGTTGGTTTCACATTAACTTTCTACGTAAAAATAAACTTTTGTTATAAGTGGATAAAATATCAATAATGTCTCCATTAAGAATATTTTTTTAAAATAATAAAAGGTAATTAGGAGCAAAAATGATTCATTTATACTTTATTTTACTTTTGGTTTTATGAAACAGGGTCTTGCTACATAGCCCAGCTAGCCTCAGACCCTCAATCCTCTTGCTTCCACCTCCCAAGTGCTGGGATAATGGCATATACCACTACCCTGAGCTACAACATGTCTGTGTTTATTGTTTTTCCAAACTCTACTGGAAGAAAAGCAAATGCTGAAACTATCAGGCTTGGGTGGCCAACAAATCTGGATCACAAGTTAGTCTTTGATCTTTAAGAAGGACCTTCAGATAGGCGTGGTGGGCACATCTTTAATCCCAGCACTCAAGAGGCAGAGGCAGAGGCAGGCGGATTTCTATGAGATGAGGCTAGTAAGTCCTGCTGTGGCTACAAGAAGGACTTCCCCAGTATTTATTCACCTTCTTCACTCAGGTACCTGCCTTACTTGAGCCTTTTCTCAGTCATTAAGAGATAAAGTTTCTATTAATGTATTTCGATTTCAAATCAATATTTTTTTTGTGAGGCAGGAAGGTCTCATGTCAAAGCATTTTCACAAGAATCTGACAAATGCTTGACTTTCAAGAAAGAAATGAAACCCGTTATTCTCTTAGATTTCTATATATTAGTGAAAATGTAGATAGCACTGCTAAACTTTTATCTTCAAAAGTTATTGAACCCACCAGTTACTGTATTTCAGGAAGGCTAACAGACAACATTACAATATAGTTTAAGAGTATAACAAAGTTTGAAAGATGACCAAACTCTTACATCCTGAAAGTATATTGATTCCATACACATTCTGTTCAAGCTGCCCATAAGTCAGAATGTTGCATGTGAGCTGGACACTCAGGGAAGCCATATTTGTGAAGGTAACGCTGGATGTGGTTCTGTTGATAATAGTATATTGCTCCTTAGGAACAGCAACATGGTTTGTTTTCCAGACAATGTAGGTGGCATTTACATGGTACCGCTCCAGACATTCTTCCTTTAGCACACAAACTGCAGTGAAGTTAGAGCCACGCTGTATAACTGGAGATTCAGGGTAGATATAACCACATGGATCCAGAAGCTGAGCTGAAAAAGAACAACATTCTTGAAAATGCAACAAGGGACTGGGCTGAGGACATGTAGCTCAGTGGTACAGCACCTTCTAGCATATGCAAGGCTCTGGGTTCAATCCCCAGCACTGAAAAAAGAACAAAACAAAACAAAACAAAAAACAATGACTGAGTTTCTCCAATACAAACGACGGTATCTGGATGGCAGCACTCAATGGAGAGCCCATAATTCACTATAATTTTCCTTGAAGAGAAAGGAAACACACAACTCAACATTATGGTCTGAATTTAATGCGCAAATTTGTAAAGAACATACACATTATGATGTACAAAATATAAAAATTACCAAGCTGGATTAGAACAAACCTATTTAAGCTGCAGCCCCTGGTCTAATATTCTGGCCTTTCTTTGGAGCAGACTGCCTACAGCATGACTCATACCTGCCCACCACCTATCCGGTCCTTGACCCAGAAAGTCCAGAAAACATGTAGGTATAGCCTCGTTGCTCTTCAGCCCTGAATGCTGGTGAGAGGTGAGACTGGGTAACAAAGGGATGGAACGCCCTGTCCATACATCAAAATTCAGACCATAAAGAAACAGCAAGTTAGCAATCAGAACCAGAAAAAAAGACCAAATACGTTAGTTGTAACGAAAATGCAGGGGATAGAATTTTCTACTAAAAACAAAGAATCAGACTAGTTTTAAGCAATAAATGTATTAATTTTACTCACCAGTGTATGAGATAAAATTTCCTATTTAAAAAAAGAATCGGATAAGGCCCCAAAATAAAACCCAACTACATGCTTTTACCGTGTGACTCCACTGCTGATGACAGTGAATCTCTCATGTTCCTTGCTTTCAATAGTCTCTTAAGACACACTGATTTGAGACATTATGCATCTTTAATTTTTTTGAAATATACAGTATATTATCATTATTATAGTTGCTTCACTGTATAAAAGAACACCATAGCTTATTTCTTGTATCTAAGTATAACTTAGTACCATTACACAGCCTTTCCCTATCTATCCTTCCCTCTAATCTCTTCAGCTTCTGGTAATCATAATGCTGCCCTCAAGTTATTTCTATGAGATCACTGATTTTTTAGATTTCACAGATGTGAAATCGTGTGGTATTTGTGCCTGGTTTATTTCATTTAACATGTTTTCAGTTCTATTTATGTTGTCACAGTGGCAAAATTTTTACCATTTTTAAGGCTAAATAGTACTCCATTGTGAATACACACACTCATTTCCATTATTCACTGATATATTTCTTAGCTGTTGTGAATACTGCTGCACTAAAAATGGGAATGCAGGTATCTTCTGAATTCTTTAGAATTCTCCCAGTAGTGAGAATGCTGGCTGGATCATATGTGTAATGGTTTATATTGATTGTCAACTTGACAGGATCTTGACAAAACTTGACAAAACTCTGGGCATGTCTGTGAGGGAGATTTTAGGCTGGATTAACTGCAGAGGGAAGATCCACTCTAAATGTGGGTGACACCATTGTATGGTCTGGGGTCCTTGGCCACATAGAAAAAGAAGGCAAACTAAGCACTAACATTGATTTGTGTCTTGACTGCAGAGGCAAAGTGACCAGCTACTTCACACTCCTGCTGTGATGACTTCCCCACCCTGCTGGATTGAAGCCCCAAACTGTGAGCCAAAAGGAATCCATCCTTCCCTAGGTTGCTTTTGTCAGGTATTTTGTGATAGCAATGAAGAAAGTTATCTAGTACAATATGATAGTTTTTATTTTTTAAGAACGTCCATATTGTTTTTCATAATAGTTACACTAATTTACAATCCTATGAACAATACACAAGGTTCTCTTTTTTTCTACATTCTTCCCAGCACTTGTTGCCCTACGTTTTTTTGGTGACTAACAGTCACTCTAATAGGAACGAGGCAATATCAGAGTGTGGTTTTATTGGTATTTCCCTGATGCTGAGCATGCTTCTGTGTAACTACTGGCCATGTGTAGGTCTTGTCTTGAGAAATATCTACTAAGGTCTATTGCCCCTTTGAAAAATTAGATTTGTCTTTAATTTTCTACTGAGTTGTTTGAATTCCTTATATAACCACTACTATTCCCTAATTAGATGTATGATTTACAAATATTTTCTATGTTGTAGGTAGCCTCTTCACTTGGTTGTGTTCTCTGCTATGCAGAAGCTAAAAGTCTGACACACTCTCATTTGTCTATCTTTGTTTCTATTACCTAGGCTTTGGGTTCCACCAAAAAAATCCTGCCCATTCCAGTGTCCTAAAGCATTTCCCCAATGTTTTCTCCTAGTGGTTTCAGGTCTTGTATTTAAAGTCTTTAATCAATTTTGAGTTGACTTTTTAAACTGGCGAAAAATAAGAGAAAAACTGGACATCCCATTTTCTTACACCTTGCATTTGAAGAGACTGTTCTTTCTCCAGTTTGTGTTAACTTCTTCATCAAAGATCAATTGGCCATAGACATGAGTTTACTTCCAGGCTCCCTATTCTTTTCAGTTAGCCTAGGTGCTTGCTTTTATACCCACACCATGCTGTTTTAATTAATATAATGCTACAGAATATTTTTAAGTCAGGTAGTAAAAAGATCACCTTTTTCACTCATTTTGCTCAAGACTGTTCAGGGTATCTGGGTGTTTTGTTAGTGGTTTCATATGAATTTAGGGATTTTTTCCCCCCTAGTTCTGTGAAGAATATCACTGATATTTTACATTGAATCTGTAGGCTGCTTCTAAGAGTACAGACACTTTAATATTCTTTTAAGAACATGGGTTTTATGTTTCTGTGTCCTTTTCAAATTCTTTCATTAGGCTTTATAATATAGTTTCTATTTTAGAGATCTATCTATCTATCTATCTATCTATCTATCTATCTATCTATCTATCTATCTATCAATCATCTATCATCTATCTTTGAGACAGGATCTCACTATATAGCCTGGAACTCACTATATAGACCAGACTGGCTGTGAACTCACAGATAATCCACCTGCTTCTGCTTCCCAAGTACTGGGAAATTTTAGAGCTCTTTTGGCTTTGGCCAAATTTATTCCTAGTTACTTTTGAAACTATTGTAAATAGGATGGCTTTCTTGATTTCTTTTTCAGATAATTTACCATTAGCATATAGGTATGCTATTGACCTGGGTATGTTGATTTTGCATCCTGAAACTTTGCTGAATTTGTTTATTAGTTCTGTGTTTGGGTAGAGTCTTTGGGGGAGGTTTCTATATAGAAGATTATGTCATCTACAGTAATAATTTGACATCTTCTTGCCCAATTTGGATGCTTTTTATTCTTTTCTCTTGTCTGACCTACTGCTCTAGCTAGACCTTCAAGTAGTACTAAATAGAGATGGTAGAAAAAGAAAAAAAAAGGTAGTGAAAGTGGACACTGATATTGTGTACCTGATATTACAGAAAAAGCTTTTAGCCTTTCTCCATTCAGTATGTTAGTTGTAGACATCTCTCTCTTCCTCCATTTGACTTTTATTATGCTGAAGTGTGTTCTTCCTCTATCAAATTTACTTCATTTTATTTTTAAATTATGAAGGATTTTTTTTTTTTTTTTTTTTTTTTTTTTTTTAAAAAAAAAAAAAAAAAAAAAAAAAAAAAGAGGACGATAAATCTTTCACTGTGATATATCAAAAGACTTGAACTCACAAAGATCTGCCTGCCTCTGCCTCCCAAGTGCTGGGATTTTTAAGTATGGAGTTTTATCAAATGCATCTGCTAAGGTGATAGTATGTTTTTTATCCTTCAATCTGTCAATGTAGTGTATCACGTTTATTGATCTGTATATAGTAAACAGCCCTTGCATCTTTAGGAAGAATCCATTTAAATCAGGGTGAATAATCTTTCTAATTGCTGTTGGAACTTGTTTTATCAATAATTTCTGTATCTCCGCCAGGTGTGGTGGTATGTAACCACACTGCTCAGTGACACTTTGGGTAACTGAAAAGTTTTAAGAGCTAACAGATTTTTCTCCTATTCCTCTATTTAAAACAACACTTTTTTTTTGCACCTTTCTGCAACCCTAAATTTACCATAGTATAACTAATTAGTATTTAATATTGCCGAATGATCAAGAGTTAGAACTCAAATTATATTTAAAAAATTATTGGGAGTACTTTTACTTATTAAAACTATTTATAAGCATAATTATATAATTACCAAACCTGAGCTTAATTATAAGCATATAAAATATATAAACCTAATTTGTGGAGTTAGAAGGTAGGGCATTTCATGAACCTTACCTATAGATTCAGCGGTGAGGAAAATAACCAAAGCTTGCACTAGCCAAATCCTCAATGTCGACATCTTGCACAAGTATTTCTGTAACAGACACATATAATAATTTAAATATCTGCTCTCTTACCACAATCTAAAACAATATTTTGTTTCTATTATATAGCTATTTTCTGAAAGGTGGTAAAATTCTTATGTGAATGCAGAAAGAGTGCTCAGAATATTTTTCTTTAGCTACTAAAGGTATGGTTATGTAAAACTGCTAGAAGACTATTGATACAGTTAAGCTTAATTAAAAAATAAATCAATCTTGTTTAGATTGAGGTCTCAAAAACCAGTAGTAACTATGAGACAGAAGAGTTCTGAAATTTCTGGATGACAAAGCCCGCTATAAGTAACTTCCAAAAAGTACTATACAAATGAGAACATTTTTGCTCAGTATGATCAAAATTATTCCCTAATAGAAGGTGGTGGCACATGCCTTTAATCCTAGCACTTGGGAGGCAGAGGCAGGCTGACCTCTGTGAGTTCAAGGCCAGCCTGGTCTACATAGTGAGTTCTAGGACAGCTGGGGCTACAGGGAGACCCTGTCTCAAAAAGACCAAACAAACAAACAAAAAAAAAAAAAAAAACACAACAAGAAGGAATGAAAAACGGTAATGATACAGACACTCTGGAAAACAACCTGGGGTTCTTTAGCAAGTTAAAAAAACACAATGTAAGGCATCTCTACTTCTAATAACACATCCAAAAAAATAAGAAAATATGTCTACACAGGACAAGCTCAAATGTTCAAGGCAAATTTATTCACTAAAGTCCCAAACTAGAAATAACCCAAATGCCTACCAATTCTATCAATTGGTAAATGAATAAAAAACCCAAATCATAACAAAGCTATATAAAATAGTACACAGCAATAAATGGGAACAAATTAGTGATACATCAAGAGCATGACAGAATCTAAGGAATAAAGACATCAGACACAACAGGCTGCATACTGAATAATTCTATTTATAGGAACATCTAGAGACGACAAAACTAAGGTGACACAAAACAGATGAAGGACTCCCTGAACTAAGGAAGAGGGGAAGCACAAAGGAACCTTTTGGGGTAATGGAAATATTCAATGACCTGACTGTGATGGTGATTTATAAAGTCTATACATATTTGTTAAGATGTACTGAATTGTGTCAATAATTACAAAGGCTCTGATCTGAGATTTTACTCTATTCTGAAGCTGACAAGTTAGCTTGACACAGTCTTCTGAATACCAGCGAAATACTGAGACTTCTGAGTTAGCAACAGAAGACTTTATTACTAGCAGCAGCAGCAGCACCAGCAACGGCAACACACTGCCCTTCAACACCTTTTGGCAACTACCAGAATGCTATGAAAAGTCAGGTGACACCTACAGGACAAGGATACCAAGTTTATAGAACCCACATCTTTAAAACTGGGCAGAAGAATACCTGTCCTTCACTGGGGGGGGGGGGGGCCTGGCTTCAGTTTTCCTATCAAACTGTACACTAAAAAATGGTGAATTTTAGCACATAAGCCTTGACTGCAATCAAAAAGTATACAGACAAGATGTGCAGTCAAAAGAAATGTGTGCTTATCGCTTCCTAAAGATATACATGCATAAGAATGCTTCATAAAAGCTGAAGGCTGCAGATGCAGCTCAGCAGTAGAGCATGGGCTCAGCATGCACATAGATCTAGAGGTCCAATCCCCAGCATCAAGAATTAAAAAACACAAACTAAGACAGCTGACGAGGAGAAGCAACCAGATATCCATAAACATTAGGACTTGGCAGAGTCAAGTAACAGAGTCACAGCAATAAATAAAAAGAACTTACATGTATATAACAGTTAAATCTCACACGTAATACAGAATTAGAGCAATTAGACTTATAACTAAGCAGTTCCATGAGACATAAGTAAAAAGAAAAAAGATAAAGACAGAATTCACATCTTAATGATTAGAAAGTATTATTTCCTAATTATTTCCCAAGTTTTAAAAGATTATTACTGAGATATAAGAAAAGGACATCTATTAAAGTATTTGATTTTATACCCGAGTGTATTCTGTGTTTCATACAATTAACTTCTTTGGGAGTTTATCTTGGTTTAAAATTGACAGTTTTCCACTAATTTTCCCTTTTTTTGTTCTAAACACTCAGTTTAAAGGTATATTGATAGCACTCCCTTACATCACAGTTCTTGGAAAATTTTCTATGTATATATTGCAAAAATATTGCATACTGAGTTCCTCGAATTTTGTGGGTCTAGGAAGCTTTTATGCTGCTACAATATGCCTAATAACTATAGACCCAAAAAAGGTTCATTTCAGAACGGACTGGTTCTTCTGCAGCAGTCATTTCTCAATTATGGCGACACACCCAGTGGTGTGCTGAAAGGAGCTAAAAGGTGTGTCATTAGTAATTTGGTACAATAATGCTGAAGTTACATGGTGTATGAGTGATTCACTTGAAAAGTTAGAATATCCAATAACTGCTATCACTGCTCATTCTTACATTCATTCCCATGGATTTTCTTAAGTGGGAGAAAAAGCAGTTAAATTGTAACTGACAAATGTTTAATAGTTGTACCACTTTATAAATTTTTATTGCCTATATTGTGACTTTTATGTTTATTTCCATTTCCTTTTTAGTTTAATCAAAGACAGAATGAAGAACTGTCAGTAATACATCAGATTTGCGTTACATGTAAGAAAGAATATCAATATAAATTCTGTAACTAACTATAGTAAGGTTACTGTTATAACTGTAGAATACTGTATGAATCTCCACTGTCTGAAATAGAGCAAGTCATGTTTACTGAGTGAAGAATCTGGGTAGGAATTGGGCTTATCTTTTACAGTATATGTTAATTTGAGCAAATCTGCAAAATATTGGGCATATCTACATTAAACAGAGTTTAATTATTTTAAAATCATCTACACTCTGACCTCTTCCATCAGTACCAATTAAGAGTTCATTCTAACAAGCATTTGGATTCCTTTATGTTACAAGGAATGCTTTCACATTAATTATTTCAGTTGATTCTCCTAATGTCCTTGGGAAGCATATGGGTAGGGAGGGGATTATTCATTGGACTTTTACAAAAGAAAAACAAAAATTCAGACAAAAGAAATTACTTAACCAACTCACAAAATTAGAGAATGAAAAAGCAAGGATTTGAAACAAGTCTGTCTCCAAATGTCATGTTCTATCTATTGGATCCCCTTGTAAAGACAGAAGACCCTTGTTCAGAGAGCTGACCTTAGTAACATTTATTATACACATGCTTTTTAAAATTATAATATTTGTATAATTCTTTGAGAATTTCATACATGCTCTGTACTTTAATTATATTCCCCTCCTATTTCTCCCCCTAGCTCCTGGACCCACCTATACATGTGTTTTTTAAATCTTTAACTGATACTGGTTTTCAGGTTTGGACAAAGTAGCCTATTTTAGAGATCTTCTGAACTTCAGAATAAAGTAATTCCATAAATACTTGTGTGAGAGTATTTAATAGCCTACTGATATCATTATTTGGTCTTTTTTTCTCTTTGAGACAAGGTTTTGCTATGCTGCCTGGCTGGCCATTAACTACTATGTTCAAGTAATCCTCCTGCCTCAGCCTATGGAGCCATTAGCACCTAGTTTATATTTAATAGACACTTGCAAACATTAAGGCAGCTTACACCTAATTCAAACTCCCCTGATGTCTATGTAATGTCATAAAGCTGTTTTGATGAAAGTGACAGAAGCAGTTACACAAGTCCTTAGAACCATACATTTTGTCTTCTACCAGCACTCAGCTAAAATTGCACTGGTGGCTAGGTTTTGAAATATAACCTAAAACAGGCAAAAACAAAACAAAACAAAAAACCTGACTCTTCCTACACATCATGTCTTTGATACATCATGTCTTTGATATAACATAATAAGGAATTAAATTTACAACAAACTTTAAAATTTCAAGTGAAAAGTTGAAAAAAAGGCACATAAGGCTCTGTAATCTCACCAAGAAATAACTAGTGAAAATGTTGGTGGATAGTTTTCTACATCTACAACTCTACACTGTTTAAATCTACATTCTCTTACTTTACAAAGATGGGATCATAAGTGATAAATGTTGGCACTTGCTTTTCTTCACGAAGTACTACATATCGGAAATTTTTTTAAGTAATACCTAATTTAATTCCTTGGAGACTTTGCTCTAATTCCCCTTGACATAGAGATCTTCCCTTAGCCTCTCTGAATTGCTTATTCTACCTGGATTTCCTGCTTTTTATTTTTCTTCCTCCTTCGTCACACTTGGGACCTTCTGTAACAGAAGGGCAAATATTTTATATAGGGATCAAATAATAAATATTTTAGGCTTTGGGGGTTCTTATGTTCTTGGTTGCAACTTGTCAAGTCGTCTGCTGGGGTACAAAAGCAATCACAGATAAAATGTAAACAGTGGATATGACTGTGTCTCAAAACAAAACAGACTGCAAGCTGGATTTGGTCTGCAGGTCAGTTTGCCAACCTCTATTCTAAAATGCCATGTCATTTTCTTACTTTGCTAACTGCTTGTTCAAGACTGAATTGTGTCTCCTACAAAAGATTCACTTGACTCATAACCCCTAGCACTTCAAAATATGACCCTCTCTGGAAACAGGGCCACTGCTGATGTAATTAGCAAAGATGTCATAGTGCAACAGGGTGGGACCTTTGTGTAATACGACCTTTATAAGAGAAACACAGAAAAATGCCAGACAACAGAGACTGGAGTGATTACAACTGTAGGCTAAGCAACACCAACACACGGTTACTACCTGAAGCTAGGAAGAGGCAAAGGATTCTGGTCTCAGAAGAACTTCTAGCCTCTGGAAGGGATAACCTTCTGTTATTTTAAACTACTCAGTTTGTGTCACTTTGTTACATGAGCCCTAAAAAATGAGCATACTATGTGTATCACCAAAAGAGACTGTAAGCACATAAGGCAGTTTTGTTGTGTTTTTGCCATATTCCCAGAACTTAGAGACATACTTAGCATATGATATGCCTATTGGATAGAAAAAAATGCTTGAAT